TTGGACGTATTTCGAGGAACGTGACCGTTCAACGAACGTATACGTTCGACGAACGGACGATTCAAAAATAGACCCCCTGGTGACTGGGCGGTCGTAAGGTACGGTCTACCAGGCGCGACTTATCATTAATATTNCCCCTGGTGACTGGGCGGTCGTAAGGTACGGTCTACCAGGCGCGACTTATCATTAATATCTGTTTTTAAAGAAATTGTATAATCTGGTCTGCAAGACGCGACAAGTCGCGACATATCAATTTTTGGTCGCCGCGACCGACGACTTACTGCTGCAAGAGCAGTATACGCGCGACACATCTCAGCGACACTATGTCAAAATTAGTATTTTCATCGTCTGATGACGAAATATTAATCCAAGAAGTTGAAAATAACCCTATATTATATAATATAGCTGCTACGGATTATAAAAATATTATAATTAAGGACACAATTTGGAAAGAAATATCGACAAAAATTGGAAAATCTAGTAAATAATATAATTCAGGGCTTCCCTAACTGTGCGTCGCGACTCCCTGGGGCGTCGCGAGGCGAACCGCATTTGGTAGTTTGTATCGACGCGACCATCTCCAGTGAGCGCCGCGCGCAGTCTGTCGGTGTCGACGTTCGGCGCGCGGGGCTGGCCGTTGACATCCCCCGCCCGTTCCCCATTCCCCGTGCGTTCATGTCGTTCGTTCAGTCGAGGTTTTGTTTTGTTTAATTACGCACGCGGACGTTTGATATTGAGTACCTATCATTATGGATAATTATATTCAGAGAGATAGAAAACGAAATGAAAGCTCAGGAGAAAGCAGTAAAGAAACAACAGATAAACGAAAGAAATATAGAAAATATGACGACCAATATTTAGATTTTGGGTTTACATACATTACTAAAGGAAATGAAGAACTTCCTCAATGTGTTGTTTGTCATAAAGTGTTGGCAGCTGAAAGTATGCTTCCTAATAAACTAAAACGTCATTTGGAAACAACTCACAGTCATTTGCAAGGTAAGCCGAAAGACTTTTTTGTTAGAAAATTGCGAGACCTGAAACATCAGTCCACGGCTTTGCTTTCAAGAGCGTCAGTTCCTTCCAAAGCATTGCTCGCCTCCTACAAGGTAGCTCACCGTGTCGCCAAGTGTAAGAAACCTCACACGATTGCTGAGGAACTGATTTTACCTGCTGCGGTTGATATGGTGTCAGTGATGATTGGAGAATCGGCGGCTAAAGAAATAAAAAATATACCGCTTTCAAACAATACTATTAGCCGCCGTATTCATGACATGGCAGAAGATATTAATGAGCAAATTGTGGAAAAACTTTCATGTTCATTTGCCATTCAACTGGATGAGGCGACCGATAGTAATGACGATGCTCAATTGATATGTTACGTGCGGTACATACAAGAAATAAATGTATGTGAGGATTTGTTATTTTGCAGAAAAATATATGATAGTGGTAAGGCTATTGATCTATTTAAGATTTTGGATTCTTACATGGCCGAAAATAATATTAAATGGGAGAACTGTGTGGGTGTGTGTACGGATGGTGCTCGAGCGATGTCTGGACAGTATGGAGGACTACAAGCTCTCATCAAAACCAAGGCTCCAAATGTAAAATGGACACATTGCGTCATACACAGAGAGGCCTTGGCTGCAAAGAACATTTCACCTGAATTAAGTGCTGTGATGGACATAGTTATCAAAGTGGTGAACTACATTAAAACACGACCTGTGAAAGCAAGGTTTTTTCATAAGCTTTGTGAAGAATTGGGTGCCCAGCACACCTCTTTAATTTATTATTGCAACTCTCGCTGGTTGTCCAAAGGCAATGTACTCGCACGTGTGCACGAACTACGAAATGAGTTTTACACTTATCTACAGACCGAATCACACAATGATGCACAAAGTTTTATTAATACTGATTTTCTAATAAAATTGGCATATCTCTGCGACATTTTTCAAAAATTAAATGAGCTTAATAAGTCCTTGCAGGGAAACAATACTCACATACTGCAACTGGCAGATAAAATTACTGGATTTCGAAAGAAGTTGCTGTTATGGAAGAGAAAATTAGAAGAAGGTCAAGTAAATACTGACTGTTTCCCTGCTTTACAAGGCATTCTACATGAAAAATCGATAGAGACCCTCGATCCCTCCATAAAAATAATATTTACACAGCACTTGTCATCATTAAATGAACATTTTGCCAAATATTTTCCTGAAAATCTGGAGCAATATGACTGGGTTAGGAACCCTTTTCAGTCGACACCACCATCAACACTTTCCACAGCGGAGGAAGAACAACTGATTGAACTGTCCTGTGACTCCAGTCTTAAGCTCCAATACGACAAAGACAAACTGCTCGAATTCTGGAGCTCAGTTTCTCATGAATATCGTGCCATCAGCACTGCGGCATTGAAGGTTCTGCTACCCTTTGCGACATCGTACTTGTGCGAAACAGGCTTTTCTGCAGTTGCAGTAATTAAAAATAAGTACAGATCGAAAATTAATGTCGAGAAAGAAATGCGAGTAGCTATTTCCAATCTTGAGCCCCGTTTTGAAAAGCTATGCTCAGAAAAGCAAGCACATCCGTCCCATTAGTTTCGGCTATGTTTTTATTTTGTTATTAATAAAAAAATATAAAATGTATTCGGAGTTTTTTCTGATAACTTGTTACTTGTCTAGAACTACAACTAGGCATGGTAGGCAGTTTTCATCACTGGGGGCGTCGCAAAAAAATGGCCCATCCCCAAGGGCGGCACAGCAAAAAAAAGTTTGGGAAGCCCTGATATAATTAATAATTTTCATTACATTTATTTAAGTACATAAAATAATTCTGAAATGTATTTAATCATTTTGTAGTAGATGAAACGAAAAAGCGCTGGAAAAATATTAGAGATTCGTACTCGCAAAATAAAAGGAAACTGGGAACTGGATCGGCAGCATCAAACAAAAAAAAGTGGTCATTGGCAACACATCTCACTTTTTTGGACCAAGTTGAATGTGAACGAGAGTATGTATTAAAATTATATATTACTTATAATTTTAAAAAAATGGGTATTCATAAAAGTATTATTATAGAGAACTCTAATTTATTGTACCTACCCACTGTACAATTAATGTTTCAGTACGTCGGGGGAACATTTTTTTAGTGTTTCATACGTAACATCACTTTGAAACATCAATAAGCTGTTATATGGTTGTTTTTTTAAGTTAATACAAATTAAGTACAAAGGAAATATCCATGTGATATCATTTTGACTTAGTACAAATTTGGTACGAATGTAATATACATACTACGTTCCTCCGAAATATTACACTATGTATTAATAGCAATCGTTTTNCGTTCCTCCGAAATATTACACTATGTATTAATAGCATTCTATTATCATAATTATGATAAACGATTGCTTGGAAATTTAATTTTAGAAATATATATTAAAAAACAAAATATTTTGTCATACGACACTGTAATTGCCTATCAATACCTGGAAAATCCAAAAACCCATGTGACGTATGTCTTTATCTTTTATTTTAAGGGATCGGCCACAAACGACCAACAACTCTGTAGTAGACACGATGTTATGTTATGGACAATCTTACAATTGTTTATGTTAGACAGTATACTTGTTTAATTATTATTAATTGTTTAATTATTATTAAGTGTTTTTAATTATTATTAAGTGTGTTTGATTATAATTATTATTTTTTCTTATATATTTTAATAATGGCTGAACAAACAAAAAAGGTAAGTTATACAATCTACTTATTTACACTTGTTATAATACCGCATCTACACTTAATAACATTGTTATATAAGTACATTCAGTGGTGTAAAATTTCAAGGATTGCAACTTATTAATCAATTTAAAAAGTGGTCAGTATTTTTTAAATAACTCTTACAAATACCAACTTTAAATTTTATGATGTGACATAAATGAAGTATTAAAAATTTATTTAATACAATTTATAAACGTATTTAAAGAAACATTTAATGTTTTTTTAAATTTATTTTGTCAATAATATTAACAATTGGTGTCTGATGTACACTTAAGATATTAAATTAACGAATTATAAAATATTTATATAGGTTTCCCTTAAATGGCTTATTGTGCTGTTCCCTGAGCACAATGAATATAGTGTTGTACCAACGAATTGGGTCACAAAAAATGAATTAACTCAAGTAAATTATTGCTACTGGCCTCCAGGCACTGTTAACAGTGATGTTATACAAAAAGCAGATGAGCCGGGGTTAACCTGGAAAATGTATAGAGTAAAAATTTATGGTGGAAATAAAACTTTTGGTAAGAATTAATACATATTTATATAATGTCTAGTGATTATTTTTAGCTCATCTATATACCAACTATTTTTTTTTAAATATAACTAATATATAACTATTTTACAGATAATTTTAATAAAGCATGGCATCAACAAGTTATTATTGAAGATTCATCTAATGAAACAGGCAATGAAGAAAATATGATTCTAAGACATAAACAAAAAGGAAAGCTTATGTCACAAAATGTATTGTTTAATGTAACTGATGAAAGTGACAATGACAATGGTAATTTTTTAAATTAACATAACTTTAACAATACTGTCAAACCAAAAATATAATGTGTATTGTATTTTTTAAGTACATATTTTATGAATAATTTTATTATATTGCTATAAACCATATAATTATTAGTATTGTATAATAATATAATTTTTAATTCAATTAATTAATTTGTTTAGATAACAGTTATAATATAATGGCTCAGTCATCATCTGCCACGTTGAATATTGTCAAACCTTTGTTTGTAAAATCAAATAGTAATGCTCTAATAGTTTCAAGTTTAGAAACTGATAATAGAATGTCTTATTTACTTAACCAATCAACATCTTCAGCCACTGATACATCAGTTGAACCTATAGCATCTTGTAGTTCATTAACTGAAAAAGACAACTATCAACAACTCTCTGAGTTAATGCCTCCAGAACCCAAACATATTTGTTCTACAACGGACTTCTCATTACAGGTATATTAAATGGAAAAAATTAATTACTGTAAGGTAAAAATTTAAAGTTTTATGTGACAATCTAAAAAAAGAATAATTTTAGAATTTTGATTATACTTTTTTTATTCATATTTTAATTAATAGTCATCAAATACAATGAACACTTTAAATCAGTCTGTTCTCCAACAAAAAAACTACGGTAATATTTATTTAATATTACATATTATATATATATATATTCTACATATTCTACATATATATATATATATGTAGAATATAATCGGTATGCAACTATTTTCTTTAAATAAATCCATAGAAATTAGTTAAATTTTTCTATTGATTTACATACAGTTTATGGAGAGGGCTTACCTATCTAGTGGTGCTTTTATAAAAATACAATTTGGTTAGGCATGAATACATTGGGGTTATTAAAAAATAATGCTTAGAATTATTTATGATTGTAAAAATAGCAAACCACCTTGTTTGTAAAATACATTTTTCATTTTAGCTTAAATTTTTTTGTGTATACTTCTACAGATCCAACAATGAACATGATGTTAAATAGAATATTATTAAAAGTAGAAAACATTGAAAAAATTTTGTCTAAACATAAAAATGAAAATAAAAATGCTCTGTTAGACAATTCATTTTTATCAAAATTCCCCATTGATAATGTTGAAGGATTTTTATTGATTGAAACTTGCATTAGTAATGAAATTGATTTTGTTTCAAAATTGGTAATTAGAACTTTGGTTAAATATGAGTAAAGAAGATTTAATGACTAAATCTAGTCAACATTTTCACAAAAATATAATAAATATTTCATAGTTTTATCAAATTAAATCAAATTTGAGTTTTTGCTGTAGGAATATTTTATTAGATCAATTGGAGGAAGGGATGGCAAAGAACATATAAGAAGGTCTTTGACCAAACTTTTTACTAATTCATATGCTGGTAAATGTACGTGGACTGGTCGTGGACTGGCCGTGGAAAAAATATAATTACTAAAGTATGAGATTCTGAATTAATCAGAATACTTACAAGTAATTTTACAATTTATTATATAGTGAGGAATAGATCTAACTGACAAATTTATAACTTCAATTAACATATGGCTATAATTTTAACATAGTTTATGACNTCAATTAACATATGGCTATAATTTTAACATAGTTTATGAATGCATAAATTATTTAAAAAAATATATATAGCTAAAACGTTAACTATGTCAAAAGTTATAAGAGTTGTCAGTTAGATTTGTTCCACTGTGTATAGTCTTGTGAATGTTTATTTTGTTTTACTTCTTTCTTGTAGAAGTTATTAAAGATAATGCCAAAAAGCCCATGACAAACTCTGATGTAGAAATAGAAATTGCAGAATGGCTTAGGCGTACTAACACAAGAGTACAAGGGGACAAATTAAACGAGTGACAATATAATTTTTTATATGTGTTTGTTTTTTTTTTTATATACATTTATAATTACAGTTTTAAAATAATATTTATAAAAAGTTTTTATTTATATTTAAGAAAGTACCATTTTTATTTCTTTATTTAGATTGATACATTATCTATAATATATAATAAATAAATAATTAAAGTTTTTTATCTAGCTTTATTTATTTTAGAAAATTAGTAGAAAAAAAAATATTAAGGAGAAGTTACAACTAGATACTTCAGACAAATGTTAAAATTGGAAAAACAGAAATTCACAACGTCTTCAAACAAATCAAATAACTTTAATATGCCTACACATCCAATATTAGAATTTGGTATGAATTCAAATTTAGATGTTAATTATAGTTCTATATCACAGTCTCTTAATGTAATAGAAAATTCTTTAGTTACATCAGTACCTAATAATGAATCGTGTTCTGGAAATTTTAGTGATATAGATGATATTTATTTTTCAAATGTTAATGTGGATTCTGAAGATAATTCTTTAATAAAGGATGTATCATTTAGTATTGAAGATGAATTAAGGTCTTGGGTATTGAAATTTAAAGTATCTCATAATAGTGCAAATTGTATACTTAGAATAATTAATTCTGCTGGTATTAATGTACCTAATGATATTCGAACTCTAATGAAAACTCCTAAAACGCACATAATTTCAAATATAGGTCATGGGTCTTATATTCATTTAGGCTTAGAAAACATGATATCTCCTTTATTAAAAAAATACAATAATTTAATCTATACCCCAAATATTGTTTTAAAGATTGGTATTAATTTGGATGGTCTACCATTATCAAGAAGTTCGAAGAGTCAACTTTGGCCAATCTTAATTGCATTTACAAATTGTAACTTATTATCAGAATATGTACTTCCAATTGGAATATTCCATGGAAATACCAAACCAAAGTCAATTCATGAATTTTTAAATCCATTTATTACAGATCTTTCAATATTATTAAATAATGGCTTAACTATCGGTGGAAATTTGTATCAGTTTGGTGTTGGTCATGTAATTTGTGATTCTCCAGCTAAAAGCTTTGTACTTAATGTGAAATCATTTAATGCTTATTTTGGATGTACTTCATGTACTCAGGAAGGTTCGTTCATAAATAATAGAATGTCATTTTTAGAAATAGAATCGCCTCTTAGAACCGATGAATCATTTCGTTCTAAAACACAGGAAGAATATCATAAAGGTAGTAGCCCTCTTGAATTATTACCTATAAATATAATTAACGATGTGTGTCTTGATTATATGCATAATGTTTGCCTAGGTGTAACAAAACGTTTGTTAGAGTTTTGGGTTAAAGGTAAGAAGGACGTTAGATTAGCTGAGGAAAATAAAGTTAAAATATCTAATAATTTGATGAATCTACGATTGTACGTCCCATCTGAATTTAGTCGTCTGCCTAGAGAATTAGATAGTATAGAATACTATAAAGCTACTGAATTAAGAATGTTTGTTCTACACTCAGGATTAATAGTTTTAAAAGGATATTTAAATAAATTAAAGTATTCTCATTTTAAACTCTTGGTATGTGCAGTAAGAATTTTGATATCTCCTGAAATATGTCAAACTTCAAATAATTTAGCTCAAAACTTACTGAATGAATTTGTTTCTCAGTACTCTTCTTTGTATGGGGCTCATTCTGTGACTTATAATGTTCATAGCTTATTACATCTTCCTATGTATGTTAAAATTCATGGCTGTCTTGATAATTTTAGTTGCTTTAAATTTGAAAATTATTTACAATACATAAAAAAATCAATAAAAAGTGCCAAATATCCTCTTTCAGAAGTAACTAATAGAGTTATTGAAAAACAAAAACATTTAATATCCAGTAGTATAATTCTTGATCCTATTGTCACTTTTAAAGAGATTATTAACACATCTACTCCTTACTTTAGTTTAGATGATAAATTATATGAAAAAATAATTTTAAAAGATCTAAAAGTAATTATTAATACATGCAATGAACGTGATAAATATATAATATTAAAAAATAGTGACATTGTTATGGTTAACCACATTGTTAAACCAAAAAATGAATCATCTTTTATATTAATTGTTCAAAAATTTTTAAATCCATCTCCAATTTTTACTGAGCCTATTGTATCTACCATATTTGGCTTATATACTATAAATACTAATAATTTGTCAATTCATATTTCTGATATAAAATACAAATGTTTTTTTATTCGTATATCTAATGAACAAGCAGTTATATTAACTTTAAATCATTCACTTTCAGAAATACCTTATTAAATTAACTTATTAACACAAGCTTAGGTATAAACTATTAATTATTCAAAATGCATTCATTTTTGTATATATTTTTTTTAAAGTTCATTATATATGTATTATTACTAATTAAGTAGGTATATAATTTTTATATTTTATAAGTATGTGTACTATTTATTAGATTTAATAGTCTACTATAATGTTTCATATAATTTCAATATATTGTGATACTATTTTAATAATTTGTATAATATTGACATACATACATGGTTTAATATAGTTATATTTATTTTCGACGTTTATTGCTGGTTTATTTTGTTTTTAATTTACATTATTTTTATAGTTCTTTAACTTGTTCAATTATATAATATGTTTCAAGTGATGTTGTTTTTGTGTGGTGGTTATATATTTAGTCTTAGTTTATTAATTAATACAAATTAAGGGTGTATTTAATGTACTAAAAAAGAAAAAAGTTCTAACTACTAAAGCCTGAATAAAATATCCCATTAATGTTATATTTTTGTTTTTTAATATACATCACAGTTATAACATTTTATTAAAAGATTTAAGAATTGTTTACTGTATGTACATCTAGCATATTACGACGACATAATCTTTAAATGTTTCGGTAATATCCCAATCAAACATACACACAATGTTTCTAGGGTATGTGTATACAATGTTTGAAGGAAACATACTAGTAATGCTTATAAATAACAAACCTTAAATATATTATAAGTGTTGAAAAAAAACGGTTATTAACAAGCTCAGGGACATCGCCTTTATATCATAGTAATAATGTATGTGGGATTTTACACGTTCCCATGAAACGTTTTAAGAACATCAATGGTATGTAACATTGTACAGTGGGTAGTTGGTAAAAATAGAATGTAATAAAAACATTTTAATTTTCATATAATTTTCATATTATTTTGATTACAGTATTATTAAATAATCATAAATAATTTTCATATGTAAAACTTGTAATATACGATAAATTACTAAAATTTTCAGCTCGGCTTGTAACGTAACTATAAATCATAGTATGGACGTTCCTTGCAATGAAAAAATGTCGTTGATACACTATGTGAAGCAGCTAATAGTTTTCCGACTGAAACTTTAATTAGAAAGCGTGGTATTTCTAAATCAAAAAATGTTGCCGATTTATTTGTGAATAATTCAGAGGAACAAAGTTTGATTATTAAGAAAATTATGAATCAAAAACAACTATTGGAAAAGAAAGAAGAAAGTTTCGATGAACTTGATTTATTTTTCAAAACTATGGCCGTAACAGCTAAAAAATTACCAATCAAAGGACAACTCGAAGCTAAGAGAAAAATTTTTTCATTGATGACTGAACTTGAAGAAAAGTATTTGTTAGACGAACAACCTATACACCCACATGCTGTTCAACAATATTTTCAAACATTGGAGGATTCCTTTCAGCCTTCCCCATCAACAAGTATGTACTCAAGATCTTCAGACTCACAGTTTTCCATGTACAACTATGATGACCCCACTACTGCATAACATTTTACAATCTGTAATATGTTTTATATTCGCTTATTTACATACTGAGTATTAAAAGTTTTAATTTTTATTATTTTTTTTGTAAAAATAAAATCTATGTTTATTTTATATGATGTATAAGTACCTATATATTTTTTTCATTAATATTTACTTGTTGAGTATTTTTTAAGAGAAGACTTAAATTATTATTATTATAAATAAATTTATCCATTGTATAAGATTTTTTTTAGAATACTCGCGTAATGCGTACTTGAAGAGATATTAAACTGAAATGACAATATTACTGTTTGTGAAAACAGGCCGAAAATAATAATTTAATAATCGCGACATGTCGCGGTCGTTACTTGTAGACCACAACAGTCGCGACGACAGTTTATGATCGCCGGTCGCTGCGACACGTCGCGCCTGACAGACCGTACCTGTACATGTAAACACGGCGACTGCCGACAATGTAAACAATAGCCGCCCATCCCCCAAACAGCAGGCCGGCAAAATTATAGATAACGTTCCGACGAAACACGTAGTAAAACTGAGAATCCGATGTAGCGGAGGCGCTCTGTGTACCGCTTGCTAATACCTCGACGACCTTCGCGTCGGTAAAGGCGGCCAGGGACGCTCCGCTACATCGGATTCTCAGGGATCCGATCGCGAGCGTACTCTACAATCGTGGTATGAGGGACGGCCGTGCGGCTACCCTCCGTGAAACCCGAAGGGCCATCGCCACCGTGCCGATGGTGCCGTGGGAGGGCGGGGCCTCCCCTCCGCAGCGCCTGGTTCCAATGGCACGGCGGTGCAGCGACCGGCGAGCCAACGGCGTCGGACCGCCGATCGTCCTGCTCCTGGGACAGAGCGGCCGACGTGGCGAGCACGTCCTCCGGGACGGGCTCGGCCATCCGGTCACCACCGGCGCATCCAGGCTACAGAAAGCTTACTCCCTCCGACGTACGTCGGAGGGAGCGCATCAACAAGGCTTTCAAGAAGAGGAAAGACCGGGAGAGAGAAGCGGCCAACCGTCCACCAGCTACACCGGCGCCTCCAATGCCCGCCCCAAGGACCCGTCCACCACCACTGTCGGAGATCGTACGACACTCCTCCACAGCAACAATCACCACAGCGGGACCGGCCCCCATGGAAGACGAGGACGCCGTGGACGACTTGGGACGCGCAGTGGACGGGTTCCTTGCGGACTCTCCTTCTCCTCCCCATTTCCATCCTGAATCCCCTCGTCCCAAGTAATCGGGCGAGGAGTTTCCTTTTTTTTTCCTTTTCGGTCCTGACGTCATCCGTAAGTTACGGATGACCGGACCGAATAGTCCTTTCCCTCTTGCCAACGAGACTGAAGGTTTCAGTCTAATACGGTAAGTCTTGAACACAATATCTATGACCACCCTCACACAAGGAATATGGCGGTAAGTCAACAATTGTTTATTACTTTTATCTACTGTTTATGATGCGACAATTTGTTTACAAAACCGGCCGGGTCAAGAGATAGACTGACGGCTTGGTGAGGGGGAGTTGACACGGCACCGCCTTTTGCTCTAGGCTGGTGCTCCTTGCCCGTGTCTCTCTCGATATCAGCCATCCAGCTATTAATATGACAATCGGTTGTCTCCCCGCCCTTGACACTCAGATAAGGCCGCCGCCGAATATGGATTACTGATATTGCGTTCTGTTCTGTTTCCGACGTAGACCTTAACTGGTTACTCGTTGTTGTTTGCCGTTTTTTTTGAGCTGTGCGTGGTTTCCTGGTTAATTAAGATTTGATTTGTTTTTTTTTGTTGATCGATGTAAGAAAACTATATCGCGAAATATATATATATATAGATATATACATCTTGTGCGGTCATAGTGGTAGCGAACGTGATAACTATATATATACATACTTATATTTATATATTTATAAATTTCTGTACGGTCGTAGCAGCGGGTTACGTATTAACGATAGTGTATCTATACTCCGTACTATCAACTATAGTGTGACATACACATCTACTTATCCATAATTATATATATATATATATATATAATTATACCTTGTGCGTACCATATTGGATTACGTGTAATAAGGTATATTTTGAAAGGTTTACCAGAAGAAATTGTTAAAGAGTTGAGAACAATGGACTTAGATTCACTTGTGGCACTTGAGGAAAATATCAAAAGACTAGAGAGAAATGCAGGGCTAACGGAAATGAATGACAAAGATAAAATGATAGACAAAATGCAAAAANCATAGTTTTGGGGGACGGAATACAAATATTGTGATATTTTAACTGTGTTAAAAATATGTATTTTCTAATTATTACATAATGCAACTAAAACTCCTAACCCTCCCAGTTGCTCCTTCCAACTTCCAAACTATTACTCGAATATTTTTACTGACACTTCTAAGTTCTTACATAAATTAAATTTCATAGTCATACAATCGATAAGTGTATTATTAGATACTGTTATATTTTTTATAAATAAACAATAAACTTTATGCAGTAATAAAATAATCTTACAATCATTGTTTTCAAATCGTTAAAACATAAATGAAATAAACGTGAATAGGTACATGTTAGTACTATCTTAATTCATTATAGGTAATATATTAAATACTAGATTGGTTGGTAAACGGTTTATTACGGAAAAATACAAATAACCAATTTCAACAGCTATAGATTAACCCAATAACTTTCAGTTTCAACTTAGTATGTGCTATATCGTTAATTTTTGGTCGATANTTCAACTTAGTATGTGCTATTACGTTAATTTCTGGTCGATGTTTTAAATTTTGTCAAATGTCAATAAAACTGTCGTGAAATGATAAACATTATCCTATTTATTTTATTGATATTTATTTATACACTTTGACAGTGTTTTGTTTTACATTTATATTCTATTTTTAAAATGATAATAGTCTCGAGCCATATTTGTGTGTTTATAACTTCAGATATATGTTTATATGTGGTATGACTGTAGAGATTAAACAAACTGATAAGAATTATTCAAAATTTGTGTTTTATGACAAACGTACCTATATTCGATACCCACATATTACTTTTTATTTTATTCTTTAGTCTATACTCTTTAACTATTTTATAAATACGTATATGCACTAATAAGAAAACTAACAGTGGGTATACGCCGTATACCCGCGTATCACTCATGATTTTATAAGTATACGCAATAACAGAAAAACAAAGAAGTGGGTNCTTTCGTAAATTAGAGTTGCTCCTACCGGAAATTTTATAAAAGCGGTATGGTCAAAAGCCTTAGAAACAGAAATACCCCTTTTCTTTCCAAATGAACTAATAACCTTATCTGGTGTTAGTTCCAAAATATTATTATCAAAACCTAATAAATTCCAAACTCTTTCANATTACTATCAAAACCTAATAGATTCCAAACTCTTTCGGTAATTCTACAAGTTTGATTATTAAAGGTGCGTTTTAAATAATAACTATAGAGAGGCATATAAACGTATATAAAAGATTATGTAACTCAAAGACTTA